ACCCACCCAAAAATTAGAATGGTGACATTGTTTGTAATGAACTGAGAGTGAGCTGCAGAATCATGAACACTTGGAGAAAGGAAAGGAACACCAGATACGTCCATAAAAGGCAACCAGTAATGGTTCCCCTGGTCGTGAATTGCAACAAGTCCTTGTTGATCAAGTTGGAAAACTATAAAAAAAACAGGAGGACACAACTTTTAGGAGAACCCAGTCAAACAGATTTCAAGGCCCATACTCCTTGCTGTTGGTCATTCTGGAAACAGGCATGCAGGAGTTGAAGGCCAAAATGTATGGAGGGACCAGCTTCTCCGTTCCTCTCTTTAAGGACACAGAATTTTTGAATTTTGAAGCTTTTTCTCAGGAAAGAGGTGCAAATCAAACCCAAGTACCAGCACCAGCAAGGAGGAGGAAGAGGAAGTTGTTAGAAGGAAACAGGATCCCCCAACTAGCAGCTTTTGCAAAATTGGATCTCCATTCTAGAATCAATTATGGAAACTCAAGATTACATCTCCGCTCAACCACAAACCTCAAAATTGAAGACCTTCTCAGAGAGATACTGTTCATGACACACTAGGAAAGAATTGGGCACATTGGACAACTTAGAGGAAAGGCAGGCATCTGAATAATTACAACAAAGAAATTTTGATATTGCTCAGAGCTGCAGACAAAGCAATCGGAGGCAAATAGGTTAAATAATCTTTATTTTTTGAGTTGCGCCTGGTGATTTTACAAATAGATTTTAAATTATTTGCAGTGTAGAGAGAGGACACCAACCAACAAACAAGAAAAAATTCAGCCCTCAGCCTATTTCACACTCTCCAACCACACATAACAAGAGCTAAAAAATAAAATTCAATTTATAAGATCTCTCAATATATTCTCTGACTTTTTCTTACCGGTAAAATTTGTATTAATTATAATACATGTTAATTAGGCAAGGGGAATAAAGCAAACAGTTTGAAGAAGGAGTTTAATCTCTGTTTTATCTCTGAACAGAATTAAAGTTGTCTCATTTTCTTTAAAACATTGATTTTTTAAAAAAGTATATTGCATGGAAGTGCAAAAAGACAAGCAAAAAACATCAAGAAAGATATTTCTGGGAAAATACCATCTTTGGTGATTATGAAATAAGAACAAAAAATCCTACTTGTTATACTTAACTGCCTGAACCTTCACCCCTAAATCAACCATTTGAAACAAGAATGTGATTTTGAAAGAGATGTTGGACTTGCAAAAATAATAGCAACAATGGCTTATTTTAGGAGAAACCAAGTACAAAAATGCATATGTTTAGAGAAACGCACACAAGAACGCATGCAGATTTTTGTGCAAACTTGTTTGTTTACAGAAATAATCTGAAAATGACGCGGAAAGAAACTTTGGGCCAGAAAAATGAGGATCTGAAATCGATTTGTTCTTTATTCCTGGCTGGTATCCACTTTTCCTGGTTGTTCTCAGTTCCCACAAACTGCCCAATTTGGTATCTCCTTCTAAAAGGAAACAGAAGTGACAATGCAAGTGGCAGAAGAGGGGGGAAAAATGATGCAGCTGTAAATTTGTATGATCCCCTGGAAGATCTCTAACCCCTATAAGTCTCTATGGTTGTTTCTAGGAACTCGTTTTGCTGAGAAATCGCTTGACCGACTCAACTACACCCAATCCCTGCTTTAATAAGAAATGTAGGATTCCTCAAGACGACAAGTACCATGATGGTCGTGGTGGACAAGACTACAAAAACTTAGTTCTGCAAAGATGTCAACTTGGAGTCATGGAAGCATCTGGTTGGAAGGGACTGTCCAACCCCTTAGTCTAATCCTTCTAGTCAACTTGGATCTGGTGGAGTCAACATGTCTCTACCCTAGACGTGGCTGGATCTTCTGGTGGAAAAATGCACCAGATCCTCCATGCGCCAGCCAGTCTGGTTGGCAAAGGACAAGGTGCAAGATGAGATGGGAAGGGACAATGTCAGATGAGGGCCAGAGTGAAGGAAGCAGTGTCAAATCTGGTTTTGCCCCACTCACATATGAAGGGGACTGCAACTGAGAGCAAAGAGTCAGCATATCTGCCCGTTGCTAATCAATGCAACATCAACCTTGTCATCAAAAGCCCTTTTCTCATCGGCCAGATTTTGATCCAGCAGCCACCTTGAGAAAGCAACTTGTGGACAGAGTAGTAAGAAATGGGACATGGGGATTATCTCTTCCCCCAAATACCTCTTTTGCTTAAAAAAAAAAAGATATTTCTACAATGTCTTGATATGAGATGGGGAGCTTAAAAAAAAAAAGATATTTCTACAATGTCTTGATATGAGATGGGGAGCTTAAAAAAAAAAAGATATTTCTACAATGTCTTGATATGAGATGGGGAGCTTAAAAAAAAAAAGATATTTCTACAATGTCTTGATATGAGATGGGGAAAGAACTCAGTTGAAACGAAAGAGATGTTCATCATGGCTTTAGCTGGGTCTTGAAATGGCATCAGTATAATGCCAGTTTGGGGCAAAGGAAGGGTTGAGGGGACAGATGGTAGAAGTTACATCTATAAATGATGATTATCACAGTTTAGCCATGAGCTACCTGAACTGAGGGAAAAGGGGCACCCTCTCCTTTCGTCGGGGCCTCATGTTCCACAGAGCAAGTGATTTTATTTTTTAAAGCATGAGATTAAAACTAAGCTGAATAGGGGACGTGACAACAGGAAAGGAAAGTTGGCAACAGGCCACAATTTTTCCCTAACGCTGTTAAAGAGGACATCCTAGAGAAATCAAGGAGGACGCTCCCTGCCACACCACTCCTGAAAAGCAGGTTTCCCAAGTTTTCACGCCAGTTGGAAACCTTGCAAACGCCGTCGGGCCAAGAGGAGAATGAAGCTGTTGAAACCAGCGGGAGATGAGAAATCTAGGGATGATTTGGGGATCATGCAGTTATCAGCTCTTGTGAAATGCAGGCTCTGATCTTTGTGCTTTGTCTCCTGCAACTGAATAAAACTAAGGCCGCAGCTGATGGCTGAGCCAAATTTTTTAGGTCAGTGTTTCTCAACCTCAGCAACTTTAAGATGCGTGGACTTCAACTCCCAGAATTCCCCA